GGGGGGGGGATTCCCTTCCTAGCTCTTGCACTGACCCACGGCTCGAGGGGCCTGGAAGAGAGAGAAGAGGGGAGCGACCGAGCGAGCGAGCACTAAGCCCGCCCGCTGGCTCGATTGCGATGGTACCGGTGTGACTCGAAGTCCTCGATGAACTTGGACGGCAGCATCTCCTCCATCAATCGGATGGACGAGGAACCGGCGTATGGGGTGGATGGCGATGAGGCCGGCCCTCCGCCAGATGCTGAGTGTCCGGTGGCCGGCATGCCTGCCGAACGCCCAGCCACTGGCGGCTGCATCATGCTGAACATTCGCAGGACTCGGTCAGTCCCGGAGGGCGGCGCGCTCGGCGTGGTGGATTGCTCCATGCCTGGGCCGGCCGGCCCCGGACGAATGGGCTCGTGCGATGACAAAATGAGACTGGACTTGACGAAACGCTCCTGCAGGAGGAAGGCAGCCACACTGGCCAGCAGGGTGACGCCCAGTGATGCGGCCCCCAGAGCCAGGGAAGCCCAGGTGAGACCGCTGCTTGGGTGACAGGGGACATATCCAAGGACAGGGAGAAAGCCGCGAACAAGGTGCCCATTCCATGGATGTGAACAGGTGGTGAGATATGGGGACCGGGATAGCGAAGGGGGAGGGGAGAGAGAGAGAGAGAGAAACAGGCAGCAGCAGCAGCAGCGAGAGGGCAACACACCTTTGATAGAGCGTCAAGGTGCCGAGCAAGGTGGCGCAGGCCCCAGTCACACCAAGAACCGCGAGAAGGGCTGGGGGAAGTGCGTCAGCGGGGGACAGGGCGGGCCGGCAGGCAAGAAGAGCTGCCACAGCCGGTGGGAAAATTGCTGCCAAGAGCGAGCGAGCCGGAAAGCAGGCGCACCGTAGTGTCTCCGGGGCGAGGACTCCTTGTGAGCTCGGGATTGAATGAGTCGCGCCTGGAAGGCAAGTATGTCTGTGGGAGGATCCCAGGAATACAAGGCATCGGCCCGTGGCGGGGTGAGCAGGCATGTCGGTTTGAGGTGCCGAGACGGACAGGCACTCGAAGGAGCTATCATGAACGAAGCAAGCGGGGGGGGGGGGGGGGGGAGAGGGTAACGCACCATCGTAGTGGCCGGCGCCCCCGGTGTGCGAGGGCTCAACCCGAGACACGAGTGACGCAAAGTCCCCCGTACCATAGAGAGGCATGATTGGGAGGCTGTCTGCCGGCGTGGCGGGCGCCGGCTGTCCCTGCGGATAGTGCCTCATGGCGAGGCGAAAAGGGGCGCGAGGGGAACGGCAGACGGGAATCTGGTTGGCGGCCAGGCAGAAGGAAAGGAGCTTGGGAGGCAGCAATCAGCCAGGCGGACAGGGGAGGGGCTTGGGAGGCAGACAGGCAATGACGTTTCCTTTCCCGCCTCCGAGCCGGCGCACAAGGAGGGGGCACATAAATGGGCAAAGTGGGCGCAGGCTGGTATCCCGATCACCCACCGGGCTGCCCTTCTGGCGGGGCGCTCCGATCTCCGGAGATGTATCCGCCCCCCCCCCCCCCCCCTCAATGGACCGTGGGTAAAAACCATTGCCCTCCGGCTGCGGTTCGACGTCAGGTCATCTTCTCTTACGCCGGATTCTCGAGGGGGGTGAATCCCGGCCCAACTCCCCCGCCCCCCCTGAAGGCAGGTGTTAGGAATGGTCCCCTTGATCAGATCTGGAGGGTGGAAGAAAAAAACATCGAAGACACTCGGGTGCCGCTACCGGGATGGCTAATTGAAAGCCCGGCGTGTGGAAAGGACGATTGGGAGTCCCGGCCGTCCCCCAAGGCTATTGCCCTATAGCCGGCCCAACACATGGCTACCGCCGGGATGCGCTACTGGCCGCGGGAAGGATGAGGAGCGAATGGCAGCAAACCACTGGCCGATCGTCTAACGGGAGAAGTTCGAGGGCTGCCAATTCATCGGCGCTATTCGCCAGCTCCCTTTTCGAGGGCGCCTGTTGCGAGGAAAAGTGGGCACACAAACAGAAACTCCGGCCAGCACAGTCGGCAGGAGCACGGCCAGTGGAGCGCGTATGCGTGTTGTTGACGTGTCGATGTGCCAGGGCGCCAATCGAGGTGCATGCAGCCCCCCCCCCCCCCCTCGCCCCTCCCCGCGGGATTAACCCCGCGCCGAGAAACGTGAGGCCAGAGGTAATGCCCCAGCACGAAGAAAAATACAAACAGACAAACACCTTGGCTCGCCCCCCGCCCGAAGAGAGCCCGGCAGGCATATCCCTTGCCCGACCCAAAGCGTCTTCCTCGGGGGAGATGGACCTGAATCTTCGCCAGAGGCCTGCTTGCCCCCCCCCCTTCTCTGTCTCCCCGAAACTGGCCAGGACGGATGAGATGACTGTCAGCCGAAAATGGGCCCCACTCCAAGGAACACAGTGACCATGTATACTGGTGTACTGCAGGCGTAAAGCCGCGCCGCCATGTCTCCCGCCGCCCTCCACGAGAGGATGCACACCCAACGCCGAGTGGCCAGTGACATTCTCCCACACATAACTCGGGCAAGCGTGCATAGCACACACACACACACACACACACACACACACACACAGGTAGATGAGTCGATATTTATGTCTATACATAAAGGCAAACATACTCACACGCCACGGTCATGTTCCCCCACGGAAGAAGGCATTCCGCAGGGCGACACTCCCCCGGCGAGAGAGAGACGCCCCCGGGGGCGGGCCATTTGAATCGACGATGGCCGCGGCATAGGAAGACGGATGGCTGTGCTTGGCACCATAGACCGGGACATTGGGCTGCCCGCCGGGCGGAGGCGTCGAGTGCGAGGCATCCTCGCTCCAGCCACCAGGGCCGGCCATTCCCGATGCAGCCTCCGCCGCCTGGGACTCCATCATGGCTTGGTGCAGGTAGGACCGGCCGCTGGCACCGCCGAGACTGCCGCCACTGCCGCTGCCGGAGCCGGACCCGAGGCCGAAGCGCGATGCGGCGCTGGCCGCCATGCTGGATCGCCGACTGAGCGACGATCCGGGCGCCGGCGAACTGCTGGCCGACACGGGAGACTGGCCACCCCCGGCGCTGATGGGCGAGGATGACATGGGCCCGGCGTGGGGGTGATCGCCTCCCCCCGGCGAGTAGTCACCCGGGTGCATGGCCGAAGGGGCGAGCGAGGAGGAGGAGCTCGATGTGGCAATGCTCCCGGGCGAAGGGCTGCTGGGGCTTGCCGAGGCGGCCGCCGCTCGGAGCTCGCGCTCGCGCTTCTCCAGCTTCTTGTTCTTGGCACTTTGCTTGCGGGCCTCGCTCAGTCGGCGCTTCTCCGTCTGGGCAATTGTCTTGTTCAGCTGCGCGGGGAAGTCGCCCTCGCGGATGCGCCGACTGAAGACACACACATCCGCGGCATTATGCGTGAAGATGTCCCGGGCGGTGGGATCGGCGCGCTTCTGCAGCAGGAGCTCGCCGCTATTGGGGCGAAGAGAACACAAACCCGCGCGCGCGCGCGCGTGTGTGTGTGTGTGTGTGTGTGTGTGTGTATGCACGTACACATTGGGAGGAGGACAGCAAGGCGAGGGACAGGCGTTAGGCTTGATCACGGGCGGATGTGTAGACACAAGGGAAGGCAGCGTGTGCGTACATTTGCCGGTGCCCATGCATGACCGCATGGTGAAGGGGCGTTTGGCCGAGAGCATCCAAGGAGCCCACATCGGCGCCGAACTCGATCAGCGACTGATCCGTAGGGGGCGGG